TATCCTATAAATACTGCAAACGCCGTACATACTCTACCCTATCTGATACTGCTATCTGACAATGTATCTGCTGACGAATCCGCGACGAATCTCGAAACGTCAGGCGAATAAAATTATTGTCGCAGCGATCGAGTCGTCTTCTTCTCAATTCCTTGCTGGGACTCGCATGTTCGCTTGTATTGTTAGCGTATACTTGCGTACTATATTGCTTACTTTATAACTTCATGTTTTGGCAGATTACAAATACTTACTTAAACACCCTTTTGAAAATAACTTTAGTGAATCCTCGATATTCATGTCATTGCTTTATTACAGTCGGTGTTATAACCACTCAAAATGCGAGCCTCGGACCAAAATCTTCCAATAAAGCCGCTTTCCCAAAGCTCCATGGAAGATCATCCAGTTGTCTATAAACTAGTTGTCCTTTTGGTAACAGTTTAATTTAGGTTTCCAAACAGTGCGCAAAAACCCAATCCTTCTGTAATACGTGACAGGGGGGGCATATCGGGAGAAAGAAAAACTAAATAAATAGGTAGAGCGTACAAAATTATAAAATACTAGGAATAATTATTTAAAAAACAAAATAACCAATATTTACGCACAATACTTAAAATAGCCCAATAATGCCCAAATTGACAGAATCGTCGACCCAATATCCTCTCTATATAACTACCATATCCCTGATACAGAGGTGATGTAACTATGTCATAGAGATGATACACCGTTGATAGAGAGTCAAAGACTGTGTCCAACTGGGCACTATTGGGCCATTTTAATTATCGCGCGTAAATATTCGGTTATTTAAATAAGCTGCTGGAAACCTAAATTGAACTGTTACGTTTATTTTTTATTCGAAAATTCCTTGGAAATGTGAAACTCACTCCTTTGGGCAAACCGTGAATAATCAACCGAAATGCTTACGCACGTTTTCGATTTGCACAAATTACGTAAGTAACGCTGAAGGATCAAGTACCGTGCAGCATAAGCCCAATGCATTTCGGGCACGTCAGGATGCTAGCTTTTGAACGAGCTTGTTTCTCACAGTGTGCAAAAAGCACGCTCTGTAAAAAGTGCTTAGTAAGTTTTATGGATTTTCTCATTAATTTTTGACGTTCTTAATAATGTAAGCTTATTTTAAAGAAACATGTGCAAAATATTCGTTAGTGTGTTCGGCAAATAGCAAACTACATCTTCTTCAAAGTCTATAAGACGTGTTTATATGGAGATTTTGCAAGAAACTGAAATATGCATTAATAGTAAATCGTAGCCGCTGATTTATAACTGTGGTCTATAAAATGTACAGCAGAAACCACATCCATTGCAACATTTTTTGAACACGATGTGACCCACTCCTCACACCGTAGGAAAATATGTACATTTTCTCATACAGAATGCACACAGCATATAGCTTGATAACCTTGATTGCAAGTATAGCTGCTGCAGGATTCAAACCTTTTGGTAAGTTTTTTAAACTCAAAGACATCCCTTCTTCGAGTTTAAAATTAGAAGAATAACTCATTGGCTATCCATGGAGTACAAGAAATAAATGTCTTTTCTATGAACAAGACAAAAGCGACGAAATATGTAGAAGTTACTACCTTCATACTATTTACTGACTTCTTGTTCCACTTTATCCTCTCCTCCTCCCCTTGCACCCCCCCCCCTCCTTTGCATGACTGACTGCCCTCCAGCGCGTTGCAGTTTTAATTACGCTTGAAGCTGAACTGGTTTGCTAAAATAACTCCTCTCTTACCTTTACTATGCGCACCTGCATTTCAGCCCAACTAGATCGATACTTGATTGGACAGTTTATCTTGTTTTATTAGTAGGCGATGACCGTAGGCAGTTGAATACGAGGTCGCCAATGTGTAAGGCGCTATTCAATTCTGTGTGATTCGTCGTTTTTGCCTTGTTCAAAATTATTCCGTGGAAACAGAATAGGCTTTTTGCAGGTGACCAGGAGGGGGCTCGTTAAAAAGCCGATATTCTGACCATATCTTGAGATGTCTTTACACGCTAATTAATCTTACATTCCTGCTGGAGTGATGTGTTCGAATAAGAAACATATTTCTAAGCTCAAGGCAACATTTAATGAGGTAGACAATCATGCAGATGAAGGAACGAGTGGATGCAATTGAGCAGTCGGATCTAATTTATCAAATATATTTCTGTAAATGACAGTGATATTAAAATGGCCATTTCGTGCTTACGTTCATCGTCGTTCTGCCATACAATGACCCGATTTGGATAGGACAACTGGGGACTGATTAAATGTTAAATTATTTAATATAAGGGAGATAGCAATGCACCATTTTTGCGACCTACTACGGAGATTACTTACTTCGCTCATCAGTGCTAGAGCGCGCACAAGTGTACGCGGTCTCGAATCTTGCTATCATGGTCCAAGAAAAAGTATTTTGCATTGTCAAATTTAGTCGAACGGACAAGGATAGAGTAGCAAAATAAAAACAGGTTAAAGTGCTTTAATTTACTGAAATTGCAATGCCTGAGATAATTTTTATCTTTCTTCTTATTCAGAGTATGAGATTATCCGAAATCCAGACATAAAAAATGTATCCGTTGGCCCGCCCGTGTTCTACGGACCAGAATTTTTCAACACTACCTGGAGCAACAGCAGCATTGGCTTCAACCTCACGCCTTCCATCTTGTCCCAAGTGACTAAGACAGCCCTACATGGTCTCACCTCTGATCTTCGCCTTCCACGGATTTCACTGCTGATGGACAGTAACTGTACGTCATTTGGTGATTCCTACTGGCTCAATTAGAGCGCCAGGAAGTGTTCTAAATGCATTTTCCCCACAAACTCTGGAATACTCCGGTTAAGCTCATTTGGGTACTTGATTTGGATGCAGTTTTCCAATCATTTGTGGGAGGGGAATGCCATCACGTTACGCTGTTGCGTAGCTGCGAGGAAAACATTTTAGATATAGGCCTGCGTAAGCAAGATTTCAGTGGCGAATCGCACTACGATAAAATGAATTTGGATGTGATGGTGAGCAAAATATTAGTGAAGATAAGGAGTGTTCGAGTACTTTAAGTAGTTAACGAGGGGCGATCGATACAGACTGCCGCAATCTGCAGCCGTTAAGTACTGCTCACACCAGATGAGTGTTGATTTTTCCAGCAATTTTAGAATTTAATGATTCTTTACATATTTACTCACACTTTACGATTACCTAGGGAGCAAGCTTCGAAAATTTACTCAATAAAATTACTCTGTTTCCTCAAAGAACATTGTTGTCTTTGAATACTTTTATATAGATCAAGAGAATAATTTCAGAAATTATTAATTACGTGACATGGAGTTACGTCCTTGCTTATTTTCTGGAGTTCATATACCAGAAACCGGAGAGAAAATGCTGGGGAACCCACTGAGGACCCGAATCCCTCGATGCTGCATCATGCAGCAGCAGTAACATCGATGCAAGCAAGTCTTCGGACTGACTTGCATTCGAATCGATGTTCTAGTATCTTCCTCGTTGCCGTCATCAGAGAAGTGCGATGTCTCTTATTGTAGAACCTAATTTATTCCGTTTTTTCGTCTGCATTGTACTATAACCGTGTCAAACGCATGTACGTTTACCGCTTATTAGCCATTGGCTAGTTTTTGCCTACGTGAGGTCAGTTAGTGACTCGACTTTTTCCTTCTTTCCGGTTGCCGTAGTTACAGCCAAGTGTGCATGCTTATTCGCCTCTGTCTCGTTAGTCGGCGGACTGACTAGTCGTTGCTGTTTCTTTTTTGCTTCCTGCATTATAATCGTCTGGATGAGTCAAGTGTGTGACTTTCCTTCAGTGTCTCCCTTTCCGGGGGCATCAGCTGTAGGTCTCATTTGATTTCGCTCGCCTGAGCTATTGGGCTTGTTCAAACTGACTCGAGCGTTTGATCTAGCGTATGATGGGCAGGGTGCTTACAAACTTTAGGGCCCGATTCCTTATAGTTCGCCTAAACGATTACCCTTACTTAGCAAACACGAAACTACGGCTCTGTTGTTGAATTTGGCCACAGTCCCAAAGCAGCGTATCATTGTCCACGCCTTTGAGAACAAAATGGGGAACTGACGTCGAAAATTTGCTTTTTAAATCACTTGATGAACTTTTTTCCCCATATTTATTGGGCTATTTGTTTTTCAGTAGATATGCATACATAGTGAAGTACGACCAGAACTTTCGGTGGTTTCTAATCGTTTCAAGTGCGTTCGCCATTTCCGGAAAACATTTTAGAATTCGCTTTCGCCCATGTTATAAGCTCTATGGATGATCAAAATATCTTACACAGATAACAGCCAGTGGATTAAACGAATACTATAACGTTCTAAGTGGCCATACTGGCAGGACATGTACTAGCTCAAAGCCACACACACTTTTTTCGCCAATCATGTGCCACTGCCAGACGCGGATGCGAGAGGTTCGACTCACTAGATTGTCTTCTAAGGTTCCCCTGTGTTTTCAGGTATATGAACTCCAGTTTGCATCCCGCGTAAGCTTGAAGTACATTCTTTGCAACGGACTTTTTCAGTTTTTGTCTGTAAATTGATATGAATACTTCGAACTGTGGGGAAGTCGTCAACAGAAGGCTGCCACAAGTCAGAATGCAGATAAAACTGATAAGGCTGGGCCTAGTTTCCTCTGAGAAAGAGCTTAGAAAGTGCTCTGCAGAAAAGAGTGCTCGTAGTCTTCTCACGTCAGTTGTTGTGTGTGTACCTGTGCGCGAGGGATGCCAGGAACACCGGGACATTCTCTTGTTGCCAGCAGCCAATCAGGAAACGGTGCACAGTGAATAACTTCGAGCTCTGGTGTGGCTAAGGCCAAAATGTGCGGCTGGAACTCGACCACGAGGCAGATAAAAGGAAGACGCAGGTGGATCCTGCAGCGGATAGACAGGAGTGGGCAAAGGATAGTCACGCACGACTGCAAGCTTGGCAAGCGAAGGTACGATGGGTCATTGCAATGATGCTGATCACGAACTGCCACAAAGATTGGAAATTAGCTCAGAAATAGCCGGGGGGTTTCGGTTCCAATGTTCATACCAACTTTTGGACCGAGCCGGAAACAGCCATTTCTCAAGGACTTACTTCAAGTTTGCGCATTAGTTTTTTCCGAAATTCAACAGCGCAATGGCACTTCGTGGTTTTACGTTTTTAGTCTTAAGGAGGATTGGCTTCGCGTACTTAATAATGCATCATAGACAAATGGGACACCGTATTCTCCTCAAACCAAAATCGAAAATGTCTCTCACTTCTCTGCTTACTCCAGATACTTCGGCAAATTTAACCCCAACGCCAGCCGGCCAAAGTGTAGGAAGTAAGCTGGAGTTCAATTCCTGCAGCTGTCCCAACTTCAAGTCACCATTTTTTCTATCCGAGAACCTAGCCAAATTTCTTGTCACCATTTTTTGCTTTCCTGTACATAAAGTAACCGCAAATCCACCGCTTCACTGTCCATTCACCGCCAAAAATTGATAAATATACTAAACTAGCTACTATGTACTAAACTTAACAAAACTAAATATAATAAAATCCAAACTGCACTTAATAAAATTAAACTAATAAAATAAATAATAAACTAAAAACTGAACTCTACCAATACAACCGGTCTCTTAAGACATAATTATAGGACTAGGGGCTATCTAAGGTTGTAGATTAACTTTATTGTTACCGAAATTTTAAATTGGAGCTGAGAAAACGATTGTCTAAGAATTGTTTATAAGTTCACATGTCCGTTTGCTCGATATTTCACAGATAGTTTGGAAGAATTTTCAGACCCTAGCCTAGACTTCCTAAAATCTTCTTCCCAAATATTTTTATGCATGAATGAGCACGTTCGTGTTTCATGTGTCTGTATGGCTAAAGGTCAACGCTTGTGGAGCACTGAAACAATTATTTTAATGTCCTGAGCTTTCAACCTCTTACATTAGTTCATCGTCGGAGGTAAGAACTGCAACAAGAGAGGGCAATTACAGGGGTATACACCAACCAAGTGTCAGTGACGCACCCCTCGACGTGACTGCATAGGGTTCTGCACGTCAGCGCCAAATAGATACATCTATTGATCGAGCTCTCGTGCGTGGAACA